AATATATATATATATATATATATATATATATATAATAAGATCTCTCCATAATTAAAAGCTTATATAAATATATACATATTTTGAATAATGTTGAAAAATATAATTCGAGATCACACTTATTATCTTATAATATAAGATCAATTCTTATATTTTATATATATATATATATATAATTCTCATATTAATAAAAAAAAGAATTATACAAAAGATCTATTAGAAAATAATATATTATTGATGAAATACATGAAAAATTACATAACAACAAACAAAAAATACATAAAAAACATTACAAAAAATCTTTTCTATTTTTGTTATTGGTTGGCAATTATCAATTGCGATTATTTTGAACAACTTATGAGTACTATGTATTTATTATATTAATATCGTATCATTTATTAATATCATACATACACACATACATACATTTATTAATATATATACATACCTATATATATACATGATTAAACTATACATTATTCATTCATATCATATATACATTTAATTACAATTTGTAATATAGATTTAATATTACAATATTGTTCCGAAAAAAACAAAAGCTCAAGACTAGTTTATTATTTTAATTCAAAGAAATAAAAGAAAACACGAAGAATGAGCGATAACGACAAATCATAGAATAGTCAATTGATAATAACATTATTTTTTAAAAAATAATTATAAAAATTTGTTCTGTTATTAAATGATTCTGAATGATGTAAAGATTTATAGCTTCTCGCCTCTATAGATCTCTCATTTTTTCATTTTGTGATTTTAAAAAAAGAATAAAGATAGTAGTTCTTTTGAGTTAGATGATTGTTACTTTTTTCAGAACAATGCTGTATTCTATATATAATTTATTATATATTTATATTATGTATAAATCACGTATGTACATTATAAATGTGTATTTCTTTTTTAATCACTAATTAATAATACTATTGTGTGGAAGAAAAAATTCTTGAAAGATATAATATATTCATAATGTAATAAAAATTTGATGGAAAAAATTTGATATTAAATAGTCAAAATTAATGATTGTTAAATTTTTTCTGTCTAGTAATTAAAAAATCATTGTAGATTTTCTTTGATTTAAGGAATTGTTAAATAATTAAAATTAATAATTAACTTTGTTTGATTTTATCTATCAAAAACTTGTAATATTTTTCTTATTTTAAATTCGTTACCTGCATATAGTTAATATAAAAATTGTTTTCATATAATTGTCTTGTTAATAAAAAATCTTATTAATCAAATAAGAAATTATTAAACAATTTTAAAAGTTTCGTGCATTACACTCTCAAAAAGCTCACGCGTCAAGAATAAATAATTTTAATTGGTTATATTTAATATAAATATCTATGTAACATATCTATTGTTGTTTCATTTAATAACTGCTTTTAACCTTGATTAGGGCCAGGTCCATGAAGTTCAATAAAACTTTCCAAAGAACGTGGTACATTTCCACAATATGATAAATTATAAGCATTTATTGCTTTTGCAGCCATACATTTTAAGGATAATTTTGTTTGAGTCCTTAATATTATTTCTGCTACACCTATATAAAAATAAAATTGATCATATAATTATATTAAACTTAATAATTTAAAATATTTAACAAAATAAAAAATTATATTTAATAATATTACATAGATTTATAAAATCAAATTTATTGTTATTAAAAACATTTAAATTTTATTTTTTAATGTAAATTTAAATAATTTATATTATATTTTTAAATTTATTTGAAAAGACCTGTAGTGACAGCATCATATGGAGTTTTTCCATTGCTATTTACTATGTCCATATGAGCTCCAGCTTCTATAAGTGCCATAATAATGGAATGAAGAGTCATAAAATCGCTGTAAAATTTCAAATATGATATAATAGAAAATAATATAAAAAATATGATATAATAAAAAATAATATTGTAATATTATATTTAAGAACCAAACGAATTTAAATTCATTTTTAATTTTAGTGTTATTTTTTTTTTTACTTCATTAAAATAATTGAAGATTTATAAGTATGAAAAATTTTAGGTTCAATATTGTTAATGTGTGATCATTGTCATTTTTCTATTCTATTATATATATAACAAAAAAAAGTATCACTTTGGCTCTCAGATACAAAATACATATTTATATCTAATTAATATAGAAATTTAATTTATTTAATAAAATTATACCTGATAGGTTCCCTATAGCTAACAATAATATGTAATGGTGTATTTCGTTCATTATCCATTGCATTTACATCAGCACCACAACATATAAATAATTTAGCTGTTGCAGCACAAGGGAATCTATAAAAAAATTCAAATATTTATTTATACAAAAAATAAAAATGTAAAATGCTATTTTTAATAAATTGATAGTAGTTGAAACAGCTATATCAGAACATATGAAACATATGAAAAATATTTTTGCATATAATTTGAAAACTAAACCGTTCTGTGTAAAGAAAAAGTTTAAAATGATATCTTTAATAATATATTTTAAGTTTATTGGAATATCGAGACGGTAATACATAATAAATATTTATCGATATCATATGTTATCAAATGTAAGAAAACAAAATTTATTTTATATCTAATATAAAATTATCAAATATAAAATTATAAAATTAATAATTATTTTATAAATTAATAATTATCTAAATATCTAATAATTATTTTATATCTAAATATATCTAACTATTTATAAATTAATTATAATTATTTAAATATAATTTAAATATATTTATTTTATAAACTTACTTGCAAACATAATTAGTATGAAAATCATCTACAACAGTAGCCGCATTTACAGCAAGATGTAGTAATGTTTGACCATCTTTTAAACGTAATCGTAGAACACAAAGTTTATGAACTAAATGATATGCCTTATTTTTATCTTGTTCTTCATATTTGTTCTCATTTAATGTTAAAAGTTTTGTTAATATTGTTACTATATACAATGTAGTTGTAATATTTGATTCAATCTCCTCCTGCAATTTTTAATTTGTAAAAGCTATTTCATAATTTTTAATTCAACACATAAATCAATTTTTTAATTTACAATATGTTGTTCAATATCTTCCTCAGAACCAGGATTATTGACTTTAGCTTTATTACGAGTAAGTTCTGTTACACAGGCTTCTAGAACATTCAATACATGAGAAAGATCAAGATATACTTCTATATCTATCATTTGTGAAAATACCTACAAAAAGATATAAAATATAAATACAAAAAGAATAATATAAAAAAATAACAATTTTTTTTTAATAAAGATTTTAAAATACCTGTGCAAACCTTAAAAGATCTTTTATAACAGACATATTATTTAATTGTTTCAAATATAATGCATGAAGCCAGAGATCTATACATTTATCAAATCTAGCACTATCTGCAAAAACTGCTCCTCTAAATACAATATGTTGTGGTAGTTTTGGATTATGTTGCCCTAATATTGAAAATAGATTAAGATAAAATGATTAAAATAA